AAATAAAAAGGACCGGTAACAGGAAGACTCAGCTGGCCCTTAAGCATCTTTTATTCAGTATCACAATGCAATTATTTAAAAACCACTATCGTTATCTCTGTTGTGCAGACGCTAAAACGTGAATGAGGAGGATGAACATGATCAGAAAGATATCACATGGTGAATAAAACCACCTGCTTGTCATCACCCTTCCCACCCCCTGAGCCGTGAAGCTGAGCTGGGAATGAGACCCAAGCCTCCTGCTCTCCATCTCAGGCCTCTCACCCATCCATTACTGCGTGCTTTGTAGACCAAACTCACTCAATTGTGTGAGACAGTGTATAACCTAACTGTGTATCTTGGAAATGTATCTAGCAGCACTGTGACAATAAAAGAGAAGCCCTTTCTCTATATGGATGGAGTAACTTCAGTCCCTAGGATTCTCTAATGCTACCTCTCCAATAGCAGAATAACCTGAAATAGAGCCAAGTTCCAGAACAGTATCCTAAATCACAAGATCATCCTTTCACCAACGTGCTCATAACATATTTCAGCTGCTATGACATAATCCTAACATTTTGCAAATATGTTAATCAAATGAAAAAAAAATGTTTCAGTCTTTAAAAGCATTATTTTTATGGGAATTTCATAAAAATATAAGGCATACAGTTGATGAAGTTGTATAAGGCAAATAGTTGATGCAAGCATATTAAAAGGTTATAGAATTATCCAGATCACGAGGCTATTTGTAGGTTTTCAGTAGCAGCTCATATCTCATTTTCTGAGGTGCCATTTGGTATTTAATGAATATTCATAAAATTTTGGTTCCTTTTAAAACTAAAAAGGCTTTTTCTTGAGTCCTGTTCCTTTCCTCCTTAAAAGTTTAATTTAAAAAGGCTTGAGTCCTTTCAAGTACCTCCTATCAAATTTCTTCACTTGGACCAAGGTACCTCTTGGGTATTACCTTGACAGAATGAGGTTTGTTTAATGATCATAGCATTAAAACCTCATGCTCTGAAGACATGCATTAGCACGCTGGGGAGCAGGGTGTAAAAACAAGAGGTGAAGCGGGTTTCTTTCCTTCCTTCCTTTCAACAAATCACACATCAATAAGTAGATCTTTAGACATCTTATTTATTACTTTGTCAATGAACTGTTTTCCTAAAAATGGTGATTCCTTAGTCGTTCTAAGACAAATCTTCCTATTAATTCTGAGACATTGCAAAAATCATAATTTATTTCAGTGCTACAGGATAATACTGCCAAGGAACAATTCACCCCTCAAGAACTCCCTAGTCATTTACATCTGTTGCTGTCTGGCAAATTCAAAGACATATGCAAACACCAAAAGCTCAGTCCATTTCTCACTTTTGTTGCACAGACTATACTCGTATAAAGTAGGGCTGTACAGTCAGAACAACTTTTTATACTCCCTCACATTGGTGTAAAAGTCATCATCTATTGAAGACCCTCTTGTGACAAGCTCATGCTATTACCACTGTGTTCCTGGTTGCACAGGCCACTGTCATTTTTGTTCCTTCCTTTTTATTGTCTTATTTTTCTATATTCATTCCAGGAACCCTTAGGTCTTGCTCAGAGTTGGCCTTTTACATTGTTTTGGTTCTGGTTAAATAACCTCTGACCCATTTGCTTAATAAGTCATCCAGATGCTCCGCTCACTGATCACAAGGATTTTGTGTTTACAAAACATATCCCAAATTCTTACTGGGCCTTTCTGTATTTTATCTTCTCCATCTGGCTGCAAAATGCATTTAATTGGTTCTGAGGTGCTTGTAATTACTTAACAAATCATAGGATCACTGGAGAATTCAGGTTGCAAGGCACCTCGGGAGATTTCCAGTCCAGCCTCTTGCTCTAAGCAGGTCAGCTATGAGTTCAGATCACATTGCTGAAGGCATTTTCCAGCTGGGGCTTGAAATCCTCCCAGGACGGAGACAGCACAACCTTGTGAACAACTTGTTCCAATATCAACTGTGCTCATGAGGCAAAAGTTTCTTAATACATTCAGCTTTAACCTCTCACTTCAACTTAAGTCTACTGTCATCATGAAGAATTTGGCCCCATCTTTCTGATAACATTTCTATGCACCTGGGGCTCCTGCTAGTCTCCCACGTTATCCCTGGCAAGTCACCTTTTCTCCAGGGTGAACAAGCCCAGCTCACTCAAGCCCTTGCTCACACTGCAAGTGATCCAGCTCTGAGCAGCTGGGTGGTACCCACCTGAACTTGTTCCAGTTTGTCAATCTCTTAACAGCATTCAAGGTCCAAGAACTGGAATCTAAGAACCACAACCACTGCCCTTTATCTGCTGGCTACATGCTTATTAATACTGTCCAGGATTCTGATGGCTTTTTTTAATCTGCCAAGGCACACTAATGGCTAGTTTCACCTTCCTGTCTACCAGGCAAGTCCTCTTCAACAAAGCTTCCCCAGCCATTAAGTCCCATCCTACATGGGGTACAAGGGGCTTTGCCCTCCCTAGAAAGCATCAGCCATTGCCCTTCAATTGTTGGAAATCTAATGAAAGAACACTGAATCAAGCCATAATTGAGACCACTGTTCATATAAATTTACTTCTTTCTTGCTAGGTATAACAACCGATCAATTTTTCTTACACACTGCAGCTGCTTTTTGTCAGGAGTAGCATAAATTTATAAATTCTCTACGAAGGATATTTTGCTTTGCATTTTTGCCCCAACCCAATAAACTGTAATCAGCAACTAACATTCCAAATACTCAGAATATTGTGCTTTTCAACACCATTGGTTAAGGTGACAACCTATAGATAAGTTTCTCCAAGGTTTTTATTCCTGGCTTGTGACCAGGCCTTAGATTTTATCTTAAATAAATCATAAATATCCTTTTCTTGTCATTTTCTTCAAGTCCTTTTTACTGTATTTTTCCATATCAAAGAAGCCTGTAAAGTCAACTTAATTCCTGAGAAATTTTCAACAATCACATCACTTTTGCGTAAGCGTATCTGGAAACAGTTACACTATCTTGGCTTAATCTTCACAGTAGTTTTCACGTTCCTTTCATGTTTTACTTTTTTTGAGCCCAAAATCTACTGTTCTCCCCCCTTTGGTAGATTTCAAGTAATTTGAGTCATAGGATAAACGGCGCTGGAAGTACACTCCTGTGTTTTCATTTCACTCATTATCACAATAATTTGTAAAATCTGTACAAACATTATTTCACTCCTTCTGTTACGAACATTCTGAGTGGGAAGCGACCCACAAGGACCATGAAATCCTACTTTTAATTTTATTTATTTATTTATTTTTGCTGTAGACTTATTTTCTAACCCTCATGCTAATATCCTCTGTATACCTCTCTCAAGATCAATTTTGGTTTTCTCTTCTCATTGAGGTCTACAAAGTTTGAATTTTCACCTATCTACAGTGCTATCCATGTACATTTAGTTGAAAAGAAAAACATTTTCTTCAACTTCATCTCATAAAGCTTTAATTCTAAAGAGACAACGTAATAGTAAAACAGCACTAGAGAAAAGAAAAAATAGCTTCATTTCAAACTTTTCTGCTAGCTCTCTGGAGCCAGTCAGCTCTGTACACTCGTCAAAGATGCAGACTCCGTTTTTAAGGACTACATTCAAGATACTGAGAAACAGATGATAACTTAGAGGAAATAGGTGCAGTAATTATGTACAAAAACTAAACATTTACCAACTTGAAACAAAAAATCTCTTCCATATTAGTGCAAATGTTTATTCAGGGCCTTATAGCAATTGAAGGTTAGTAGTTCAATTTGCTTTGTTTGCAATTACTTATACTATCAAAAAGGAAAGAGTAACAAAAGGAATCAATGGAAAATTTGAAACACCACGAGTACACGTATACAAACAGGCAATGCACATGCAAAAGTTAACAATATATTATTGTTACAATGAGTTTGCATGTGGAACAGAAATCACTGTGTGATACTAAATGGTTGAATGTCAATTCCATGTTTTGTATACCACCACTTCAGAGAACAAATTAATGTTCCACATGAAACTTTTTACAGACTAAATAATTCCTGTGATATGAGTAAAAATGCTCTTTAACTCCCAAGTTACAGCTGTATTTGTATTAGTCCAGCTACTCAGCTGAACGATGCCAATTCAAAGTGGCCAGTTAATATACTACTACTGGAAACTGAAAAGGAGTTAAAAAGCCAATGAGATCAACAAAATCAATATCGACTTATAAAGCAAATAAGAAAATAAAATACGAGGATGCTTTTTAATGTATGGTTAGCTGACAAGACAGCAAGTGATGAGGGTTTAGATGTCTTATGGGTGTTTGAGGGAAAAAATGTGACAGAATGAATACTTTTTAGACTAGTCAAGGAAAATTCATAAAGTGGGAAGCTCCTTATCAAATAAAGGAAGACATGCAAGAAAGAAAATGATGATGTGTATTCCGGCTACTTATGGGACAGAAATCAGTTTCACTGGCAGAAATACTATTTCTTTTATTAATTGTAAGGACCATAAAGCACTAGAACAAAGAGATAAAAAATATTCTTCATTGTCAGTTTTCTAGAACAGAGTTAGACAAATGTGTGTAAGAAAAAACTTGCTATGTTAATCCCAATTCAGCCCCAGGGAGAGGAACAGTTGATCTCACTTTCCAGCCCCAAGAATATAAACATAACCTAAAAAAATATTTCTCAATGAAAAAAAAACAATTTTCTTTTTTTCTCATGAGATATTTCTTAACAGTTGGGGTTTCAATTGTAATGAACAGGGTGTGGCCCTTACCCTCATAAAGACTGACTTCTTTCCTTATTGTTTTAATGTTGAATAATCTGAAACTTCTGTTTTAGAGGGAGAGGAGAATCCCTTACCAATCAGTGGATAGTCCCTCTGCTCTAGAGCTTGGAACTCTGGAGTCATACAATCAACAAAGCCCCCTCAATGTACAGCCACAGTCTATTACCAACAAAGTAAAACATTTTGTTACATCTTAAGTAAAATATTTCCGATAGTGCATACTTTACCAGTTATGTCATGCTGTTTGAATGACTCACTGTAGATCTGATACTGATTAGGACAATGTTTCTTCAGCCATTTGCAGACATCCTGCTGGGTCCATAATGCCACAGGTTTGGTCAGCTTCACAGTCCCAGACTAGAAACACAAAAGGAAAAGAGAAATAACATATAATGCATTTGCTAACCATTTTCAGAAATGTTACGCTGGTATCCATGTACAATATTAAAATAATAAATGCTAGATGAGAGCTGCTATGACTGGCAGTCACCAGCACATCCACAAGAGTCAGCTCTTTAACTGTATCGCTGAAGGGATTACACACAGTGGAAGGCTTTTTTAACAGTAGCAGGCAGTGCATCTGTATTCCTTGCATCACAAAAATGCATTGTACTGTGTCTTCCTTGAGAAACAGTTAAACTCCTTCTGGAAAGATTTTGACCATAAAGGACCAACTTCTTCCACATGCTTTGCAAAGATCACCAGAAAGGCAATGTTTCAAAAGGCCAATACTGGTTTTTGAAACGTGAAAGGTCTAATTTCAGTACATCTTTTTCCTATTATTTTCATTGCAATAATCTCGTAATTTTGCCCATATTCCCTATATTCACAGAGATTCAATTTTTGCTGAGAGTCAATTCAAGGACTGGCCAAGATGTTAAAAGTCCTGGCCTCTCCCAACTCCAGTGGAACTACTTTTGTTTCTCTATAGCTGTCACCTCAATTACAACCTGGCAGGGTACCATTTTTTTTTAGAGTTTTGTTATGGTCTTGTACTTTAAGTTAGCTTGGAACTAGTGAGTGCTATTAGTGGCACCAAATGTATTTGTTATCTACAAATGCTTCTGAGATAGACATAACGAAGAGACATCTTACTCAAAAGAATACTATATTTGGCATAAGAAGGATACAGGCTTCACACTTTTTTTTTCTTTCTTTCTTTCTTTTTTTTTTTTAAGGAAATAGAGCAAGTTTACCAATAGTCTCATAACAACTTGAGCTCTTCACCAGGCCCATGCAATTTCCATTGTCACAGAAGGTACAGATTACATACGGCATAGTAATAACAGAACTGAGGAGTCCTAACGGAAAGAAGTCAGCTTGAAATTAAGGTCCTGGCTTAGGGAACAAACCCTTCCTTTATTAACTTCACTCTTTCACTAACAATAGATGTAGTCCTGCGAAAGGCTGGAAGCCTGGACAATCCAGCACCACTGAACAACTGATCCCTGCAGCGGGCCAAGTTCACGCGCTCGCTTCCCACAGCAGAACCACCTTGGAGCCCACATCAGACCTCTCCCACCTGCCCGCACAGTACTGGCAGCAGGACAGCTGGCCAGTCAGCCAGGAAGAAAGGACTTCTATGTATTAGGAAAGTTAAAGAGGGCTGCAAAGATGGTGAAAGGTCTGGAGGGGAAGATGTCCGAGCAGCAGCTGAAGACCCTGAGTTTGTTCAGCGCAGAGCAGAGGAGCTGAGGGGAGGCCTGATGGCAGCTGCAGCTCCTCACAGGGAGCGGAGGGCAGCGCTGAGCTCTGCTCTGTGTGACAGCGACAGGGCTGAGGGAACGGCATGGAGCTGTCAGGGGAGGGGGGGTGGGGGTCAGGGACAGGGTGTGCAGCAGGGGGCGGTGGGCATGGAACGGGCTGCACGGGGCTGTGGGCACGGCCCCGAGGTACCGGAGCTTATGGCGTGCTTGGACATCGCTCTCAGACAGATACATGCTCTGATTTTCTTGTGGTCCTGCATGGAGCCGAGAGCTGGCTTTGGGGATCCTTATGTGCCCTTTCCAGCCCAGGATATTCTATGACTCTGTGACTACAGTAGTACAAATCAGTTAAAGGCCCTACTTTTTAACTGTCTATGTTCCCCCAGTCTCAGTGCTCCCCTACTTAGCATACAGCTGTTCCCACCTCACCCAGCTCCAGCAATCCAAAAGCAAAGGGCATCCAGGCAGCCTGAGCTCTCTCACCCATGCAAGCATGCCAGGTTAATCAGATCAACACAGGTCACCAACAACTAGCAATATTTTTAGCTGAGAAATCTCACCTCACAGCAGTGGCCATTGAAATCAGAATACAGCATGAACCAGGCACAACGTAAGAGTGAGACTCTGCACGTGAAGGACAGCAGTTGCAGCTTCAAAAACTTCAACTGCAAAGTGAGAGACGTGTTTGTCTCTCAGTTTGGAATTAAGGCAGAAGACCAGGAGTAGCCTCAGATGTATTGTTCTACAACTAGAGGAGATCTCACAAAAAGCTTTTCAGTGCAAGTGAGCTGAAGGGCTGCTCTGTACAGGAAAAGAGACTGCACACAGGAAGAGGTGGTGGTGTCCAGTCACACACTGAGCACTTCAGCTGCCATTGCTCTAAGTGACAACGATGTTTACATGTGTTTTAACTTTTCTGCTTCATTTTTCATCTAACTGTCCTAAAATTGCTGTCACACAAAGTCTGCAAGGTCTCTGCTTCAAACAGCCATCTCCTTATATGAAAAAAAAAAAAAAAAAAGACCACCACTGTTCAATACTTTTCTGTAAAATCATTTTACAGTAGATAGTCTCTCTGTCCAGATAAACAATTCATACCCAGAAGACTCATAAATTAAGCCAACTGCAGTATCACATGCATAATGTCACATTGCATTTAACTGAACAACTCACCTTTTTTTAACATACAAAAACACTGAGTTGTAAAAGAACAGAACTATAGGAGTTCAGAGCTTCTTATCAATGCAGGCAGAACAAAACTAAAGAGCTAATACATTTAAAGAGTTGTTTTTCAACAGTCTGTCCAGGAGACTTAAAAATCTTATTCAAACATGCATTATTCCCCACAAGGAACATCTAACATTAGACTTCGCTGATGTCAGTTGGAGGGAATACCAATGTACCCATTTACCTCACGGTTTTGTCAAATTACTGAGTCTACAGAATGAAATCATTTTCAAAGTCTTTTTATTCCCTTGCTAAACATGCAGGATACCTATCCCTCCAGTTCCTGGAATCTTGTAGAAGGTTCCAGAGAAGTTTTTCCATATAAATTTCAGGTGAAAGGGAATGTCACCTCAACCAAACTCCATTATGACTTAGGGTAGATTCCCTACATGATGGCAGCCCAGGGCATTTATGCAGATGTACTTTGCCAGGCGTCCCTTTTCAAAGTTGCTTTGAAATCTTCATTACTAGAAGCCTGATGGACAACAGCAGTTCTCAGCTTTGCATGTCCTATTATTTGGATGCCCCGTCCCTGGAGGTGTTCAAGGCCAGACTGGATGGGGCCCTGGGCAGCCTGGCCTAGTATTAAATGGGGAGGTTGGTGGCCCTGACTGTGGCAGGGGGGTTGGAGATTCATCATCCTTGAGGTCCCTTCCAACTCTGGCCATTCTGTGATTCATTGATTCTATTAAGTCCATTAATGACATCATCCAAAGATCCCAGCTGAGGTACAGGGAATATGAAACTGAAGCTAAGATTGTGACATCAAACATCCCTCTGAATTCTCATGTCCACTTTTTCCCTCTCTTTTCATTGCCTGACTTGAAGTTCATACACGTAAACAGCAAAAACATTATGGGTGAATATATAATACAATGCACATCCCTTAGCTGAGCCTTTTTTCTTTTTTTTTCTTTTTTTTTTTTTCCTGTAGACCAAAGAAACATGAATCCCATTTCAAACAAGAATAGGCTCCATCCGCATTTAAAAGATACCATATTAAAGCATAAACCAACTCCAAATAATTGATTTTCACTTGTGCTGTCACCCTGCAGAAGGCAGAAGTCTGACTGACAAACTTGCATCCACAAAAAAAAAAAAAAAAATTCCAGATGTGTTTACAATGCATGGTAAGCAGAACAGTGCTTGCTTTACCACTAATCCTTCTGGGATCATCATCAGCCTCGTGCACATACAGCAACCTGCTACAGACACTCACAGATCTTGAGAAGGGACAACCTCATTATAAAGAGCAAGTGCCCTGCAACTGCTCCTTGTGCAGCTACGAAGATGAAAGGCTTCTCTTTGAACTTCCCCAGCTTACTCGTTACTGCAGTTTGAGTCAAAAAGGATGCTGAATTTCAATGAAGGGCCCAATATCATGGTACCTGTCAGCTGACTTTTATTACGCACGTATATATATCAATGAATTTCCTTCACAAATACATCAAAGCAAAATACAAGTAAAAATAGCCATACAAACGAGCAGTCTCTCCAATTCCATAAAAATTCCCTAGACATGTGTATCTTTATATGAGCTGCTGCTTAAAGATAATTCTCAAGCACCCAAATTTTTGAAGAGGAAAATCTATCAGTCCCTAAAAATTAATTTGTTAATGTTTTCTCTTATAATTCTTAAAAACACTGAAATTACAAATACTTGCATGCGAATGTATGTAGCTGGCTATAGACTTAAGCTGTTCCTAGCTGAAAGCACACAGTAAGTGATAGTTTGGTTGGAGTACGAGGATGCTGTTTTCGGTTCAGCAGCTATTCTCCTCCTAAGAGGTTTAAATACCATCATGTTAAATATCTGGCAAACAAGTTCAGCAGTTACACTACAAATGTAACACTCCCCTCTGTGCCTACAGAAATGAAAGACAGTTCCAAACGGCACAGCTATGTCGCGCATTGTACAGATTGCTGCCCAACAAACATATATGCTAATTCTTCATGTCCAGCATGCAGAATTACAATAACTGAAACACAACTGGCTTAACTTATAACCACTCCAAAAAGGACATTCTTATATTACCAGAATCAAGCTTTATGTTTAATTTTATAATTAGCACAGTCTTGCTTAGTTAGAGGAATGTAGGTATTTTAGAGCAATAGCTCTGTTGTAGCTGCTATCATTTTTGGAACATCGTACCCTAAATATTTTCCAACCAGATGCTCTAGATGTAAGGCTATTAAAAAGCACACTTTCCTCCCACAGAACTCATTTGCTAGTTTCCTTCCTGTTCTAAAGCTAGATCTTACACTAAAAAATTCCCCATACACCTAGGAAAATGACCCTTATCATAAACATACCTACAAAATGGGTCCCCTGCCACTAACTAGATGCAAACTACCTAGACAGCTAGAAAACACATTATGTTTCTATTTTATTTCTATTTATCGGCTCAGTCAAATAGTAAGCCC